CTTTGCTTGTCACATCTTTTAATTCATCAAGTTTGTCTTTCATCCATTGGAAATATTCAGTCACTCCTCTTTTAAGTTCTGTGTCAGAAATTTCCATGAGCCTTTCTGATTTCAGGGTATCGGCTGCTCTTGTGTCATCCTTTGTGAGTGACATCTTGCTTTGCTCTTGAATATTGTGTGGGATAGTTTGCTTTCTTCAGTCGTTCCACAGACCTCCTGATCTCACTCAGGCCGAGCTCCCACATGGGGCTAATGGCCCTTTTATAACATACACATCTCTCCCTACTCCTAGTCCCCAACTCCTGACCCCTGACAGCCACTATCAGTTCTGCATGTCTATAATTTTGTCATTTCACAAATCTAATATAAAATGGTATCACACACATAGACAAAAATCAAAGAGTTAAGAAAAAAATAGAATCACAGGATAAAACCTTTTGAAATAGGTTTTGCTTCCCTCAGTATCATTCCCTGGAGATGTTCATCTACCTTGCATGGATCAGTTGTTTGGTCCTTTTTATTGCTCAGGTTATCTTTTTTTTTTTCAGGTCAGCAATTACATGACAGTCCAAAAATTCCCAAACTAATATCCCACAGAATAGTAGTCCCTGTAGTTCTAATAATTGTATGTCAAAAACCCCCAAAATACTGCTCTATGCCAAATAAATTTGAAAAACTTAAGTTAAACACAGTGAATCTGTTTTCATACGGGAATGATCAGGAAGTTCATCATACTAATGTACACTGAATTTTCTTGAGGACTAGGTTCTGTGGTGCTTACCAGAATTGTTTAACCTTGAGCTTCTTTTTTCCTTAGAATGAATTTTAACATTAACCAAAACATATTCCATAAAAAAAAATTGTGAAACTGAAAATAAGAACTCAGAACCTTGGCCTTCAGACCTCAGCTCTGCTGTCGTCTGTAAATGTCATTTGTGTCATGTCATTTCTCTGAACCTCAATTCCCTAAACTATAATATAAACATAGTATCTACCTTGAAAGATTATTGTGAGCATTAAGTAAGACATTTCTCTGTATTATGAAGGGAGCTCTGGTAGCTTACTGGCAAGAAACTGTACAGCAGTCCCAAAGGGACATGGTTTGAATCTACAAGCTGCTATATGGAAAAAAGATGGGCAGTCTCTTCCTGTGTAGTTGACTGCCTCTGAAAACCCACTGGAGGATCAGTTATGGGTTGGTTTAAAAGCAAATAACAGCAACTAAATTATGAAAGTTCTTGGTAAATTATAAAAGTTTTACTACTTATTTCTAACCTTACTCTCTCTATCTCTCCCCTAGTGGCCTACCTTGGGCCAGCTTGTTTTTTCTTCCAAATTTCAAAAGTTGGAGACCTTTAAGGCACCGAAGGGCATTGACTTAAACTCACTTCATCTCCAGAAACCACTGGAATCCACTTGGACCAAGACCAACAGCCAGTTCCAGTCTAGCACCTCAAAATCAAAGCACTCCTTCACTCCACTCCAGAAAGAACTCTTTTTAATTATGAATTCTTACCGGGACCTGTTCTACCCAGAAAGGACTGCCCTCACAAATGGTGAGGAGATCCGCCATGTGTACTGCCTGCATGCCATAAATCACGTCCTCAAAGCCAATGCCCGGGTGCTCAGCAACAATAGCAGGCGCCGAACCCAGAAACTTGGGGTGGGTGATGATGATGACTTCAGAGACCAGGGGCTTACACGGCCCAAGGTGAGTAGCAACAGGAAAATCCCCCCACTCTTAAAAAGTCCCTGATGCCTAGCACACGGCAGACACTCAGGTGCAATCTCCTCTTGTACCAGTCAGATCCGATTTGATGGCACACACTCAAAAATAATAAAATTTTTTAAAAGCGCTACATAATAAATGCATAAGCAACATTCCAGTATAAATGTGATTGTCTGGCTGGAAGGCCCTTAATGAAGCTTCATTCCTTACATGTTATAGATGTGAACCAAGACCTCGACTGGTAAAGGGCCTCGCGAAAGGTCAGTAGAGAAAGTATAGCGGAGAGAGGACTAGAGACAAGGTTCCTCTTTAGTAAGCCATGTATATGTGCGAACCTTTGAAAAATGCCCTACTTTCCACTGCTGTTTAAAGGGATGTGTACATTTATTTGGTCTTCATAAACCTAAGCCTCAGTAAATTTGTGTCCTTGATGGGAAATACCTTTTCATTTCCTACCTACACGGCTGGCAGCAAATGTTATCCTGCAAAATCTGTTTCTTCCTTCCCTTTAGTCAAATTCCCATGTTGAATAAGACTCATCTTTTTAGATTCTTCTCTTTGTGTTTAATAGAATTGTAGGGTTTTGATGCCAACGTGATTGTCTAGTCTAGTCTTGTTCGGTAGCTAGGAAAACGAAAGCCTAGACACCTAACATCACAGCTGGGACAATAGCTTGGCCTTCTGTAACCCTGGTCCGCCATCTCTGCATGTTCCAAGCATTTGTTACTGCATTCCTTTGGTTGTGCTGTTTCCTTTTCTGGGCAGCCACGTCGGAGTGTTGAACAGCAGGATTACAGAGCTGTCTGTTTCCATATAGAATTGTATAAAAATTTAAAGGCCAGGTCATCCATGAAGCCTACCTTAGAGTTTTAATTTACCAGAATTGTTTCCATTGATTTTGCTGTTAACAAAAGGTATTTAGAAATAGGCCATTTATCAAGCATCTCCTAATTTTTTTCTATAATTCTCATCTCCTGGTTCTCTACAATTGTGTTTTTTTGACTACTTGAAAGACCAAATCCTATTTTTCCTATTGAATTATGGTCTTGTTTAAGAAATGCTTTGCCATTATTTCTGAAATGTGCTAGGCACACACTAAAAGAATAATGATGAATTAGTCCTTTTCCTTTTTTACCCACTTTATATCTCCTCTACTTATTCTGTCTAATGCACTTATTCACTAATTATTTAGCATATATTTCTTCAGTGGGTCTTATGTATAAAATTGTTATGCTAAGTTCTGTGGAGATGGAGAATAGCATGACATTTATTGCCCTCAGGGAGTTTATATGTTAAGGTCTAGAGTTTTTGTCAGTGGGCAGATACATGAAAAACAATGGCTTTTCCAAGAAGGTAGTTCCCATGTTCTGCTAGAGGCATGCTTCTCATAGAGCCAATGGACTGAAGTCCACAGACATGGCGCTGTGCATGGGAAAGGTGCTTCTTAAGAGAGAGTGGTCGCGCTGACACAAGGCTTCCCCATAGGTTCACGGCCCTCCCTTCCCCTGCTCTCATCAAGGCTGCTTGCTGCTCCTTCCACAGGTGCTGATAGTGGTGCCTTTCCGGGAAGCTGCTTTACGTGTGGTCCAGCTCTTCATCAGCCTCCTGGAGGGTGACAGCAAGAAAAAGATAATTGTGAGCAACAAAAAGAGGTTTCAGGGAGAGTACGGCTCCGATCCCGATGACAGGCCGCCCAACCTGAAGAGGCCGGAAGACTATGAAGCTGTGTTTGTTGGCAACATCGATGACCACTTCAGAATTGGTAATTCTTCCTGGTAAAAACCAGCAGACTGTGGGACCCCAGAAGGCTGGCAAAAGTGTAATTAGGATTTCACTTAGAGAGAGTCTTCTAAATAGAACCAGTGTGTGTTTGCAATATCTTGTCAGCCACAGGAGGAATCTTACCTTGGCTGAGAGACTCTTGGAGAAAGTCTCTAAGACCATATCAAAAAGGCACATGCATGTATAGAGCAAACATCTCAGCACATCCATAGCTGGTAGCAGCAGCGCATAGTCAGATGCTGGAAAGGGATCTTAGAAGAGTTGAGGGAAAGCAGCCAGTTGGGGTCAGTTCTGGGGAGGCTGTGGCCTGACAGAATTCCTGCCTGCCATGTGGAGGGCCTACCCATGAACCATCTCCTCCATGACTTACCACCTCCTACCCAGCTCTTCATCCTTGTCACTCTTTTAGCTCCTGGCTGTTTTATTTATAGCCTGATAGATGGCTTGTAACATTGTGGTAAAATATTCATTACTCACATTCATTACTGACATTTAGGCACTGCCTTTGGGTTAATAATGCACTCCCTACCCAGTAGGCCATTGAGGCACTGAAGCTCTTCACTAAGAAGCTGGAGGTGTAGAAGTAACAAGTTACAGTTCTTATTAAAGAAGTCCAGCTGTCTGGCTAAACAGATAATATGAGGGATACATGTTGTAATCAGAGAATCTAACAAGTACTCTAGGAGCATTTCTGCTATATTTGAGCATTCAAAACTGTCTAATGAATTGATAATCAAGAATTTGATGACCTTAGCAAGAATCATTTCAGTGGTGTCCTAAGAATCAGACGTCAAATTACAATGGTTTGAGGAGTTGCTGGGCTATTTCAGAGTAGAGATAATTCTGTGGATAAAAGTTTGACAGTGAGAAATAGTGAGAGTGGGAGCTAGAAGGATCCATAACTTCAAGGGAAGGGTGGTGGATATTACCATAATAACAGGAATTTAAACCTAGTTATATGCTAAAGGGGGAGCTGTGATGGTGTTAGGGGTAAGGAGCTATACTGCCAACCCAAGGTACATATGTGGTTCGGATCCGCCAGCTGCTCTACAAGATGGACAGATTCCTGCCACGTGAATAACTGTGTCTGAGTATCTGCTGGAGGGTTAGCTATGAGTTAGTTCGGACTCGATGATGCATAACCACATGTGCTAAGGAGATAATGGAAATGTCGAAGTTCTAAGAAATGGAAGGTAAAGAGTTGGAGTTGGCAGTGACTAAGACCAGTAATGTGCCTGGCTGTTTTGTGCAGGTGTTGCAGTTCTTCAGAGAAGCATCCGGCTCTACGCCCCCTTCTATTCTTCGGACATCATCATTGCCTCCCCTCTGGGCCTGAGGACCATTATTGGTGGAGAAGGAGAGAAGAAGAGAGATTTTGATTTTCTGTCTTCTATTGAGCTTCTCATCATTGACCAGGCTGACATTTACCTGATGCAGAACTGGGAGCATGTTTTGGTAACGCATGACATTCACATTTACAGGGGCACAGTGTACATTTAGGGTGAATCTCATTTTCCATTTTAGAGGGTTATTTAGGTCTAGATTAAAAGGTCATGTGGGAAGAATTTGTTTCTGTCTCCGATTTGAGAAACCTTTGGTATCCTCTTCTGCCCACAGAATATCGGCATGGTTGTTAGGTGCCATCAAGTTGACTATGATGCAACCCTGTGAACAACAGAATGAACCCTGCCCTATCCTGCCCCATCCTGACGATCTCTGATATACTTTAGCCCATTGTTACGGTCACTGTGTCAATCTAATTTGTGGAGGATCTTGGGCTCTTTCTCTGACCCTTCACCTTTCCCAGCATGAGGTCTTTTCCCAAGGTTTGGCCCCACCAAAGAACTCACCCAAAGTATGTTGTGAAAAATTTCACCATCCTTGCCTCTAAGAGCATTCTGGTTGCACCAGGATAGATTTGTTTGATCTTTTGATAGTCCCTGGGATATTTAGTATTCTTCTCTAACCCCACAACTCAAAGGCACTGCATTTTCTGTCACCTATTCTTTGTCCAACTTTTAAAATGATATCAAGTAATTGAAAAGACCTTAGGCATTAATTAAAAAAGGTAAAAAAACCTAGTTTGTATTTTCAAATCTCCATAAAAGATTTCTTCTCTTTAAAGATCTCTTTCAGCTGTTAGTACCCTTTGTTGTGGTGAATTGATTGGTTAAGTAGTTTAAGCTCTTCTTCTCTAGAAATGTCTTTCCCAAACATAATTACTCATACTGTTTTTGTGCATTCCTCTTTGTTTAGTCTCTAGTGGAATTGGAAAACATTGATTAAGATTTTATAGTGTGTGATCTTATATTGCAGAGAAATGGAGAATGTTTTGATTTTTACACTGTTGTAATTTGTGCTGTCATTTTTTTTCTCCCTCTCTCTGTACTCTATTGTGTTGTCAGTATTAGGACTGGAAAATCATGCTTTGGAACAATTGCAGAACTACAGGGTTTCTTTTTAAAGGTGTACAAAACTCAGCTTACCTTCAACCTAGGACTTGAAACTTGCATGTCTAAGATAAATGAAGGGGAGTGCTTATTGATAAACAAGTTTATACATTTCTAGAACTAACTACCTTGTACTTTCTACAGGATGACAAGATAAATGGAAAAGGCATGTTGCAGATAGCATCATAAAGTTTACTTAGAGGAACAAGCAGACTTTTTCTCTGGGAGGGAGCTATGGTGGCATAGTCTATAGAGAGTAGTGCCACTCACCCAAACATGGAGCAGCTCTGGCGGTTCAAATCCACCAGCCTCTCCAGCAGTCCGTCTCCTCCTAGGTGACTCACATCTTTGGAAACTCACTACAGGGTCAGCCTCTGTTTGACAGCAGTGAGAAGGAAAATGGTTCTGAGATATTGTCTGATGTTTTTTAAGAACCAGCTCATTGAAGAACAGTTACTCTCTTTTCTGTATGATTTCTCTTCACGGCTAAGTTTGGGACTGAGAAACTCTTAACGAGATGGTAGAAGTTTCTTTAAAAGAAAAGTTACTGCCAGTACGGTCTTGACTTTTTGCTTGGGGTTTTTTTTGTTTTGTTTTGTGTGTTTTTTTTGTTTGTTTGGTTGGTTTGGGGCTTTTTTTTTAACAATCAAGAGGCAGTCAGTATTTGATGGTGCTGTGCTTGTTGAAGATAATTCAACTCACCATGGGCAGAGGTTACTCACCTGTCTGAGCCTGACTTTGTTGTGATTTGGGAGATGATAAGACATGCCCCATGGGATGAAATAAGATGAGAGATTTGTAAAATGTTAAGCTGTGCCTGGCAGAGAACTGACTCATAGCTGTCCCTCCAGCAGGTGTTCAGAGGCTGTGAGTCACACATGAAGCCATTGCCTGTCTTTCTCCTGTGTTGCTGCTGGTGGATTTGTCCCATCGGATGGGCAGCACAACTCCTTACCCTCTGGACTGTCAGAACACGTAAGCAATCAATAAATGATAATGATAGTATTCTTTTTGCTCACAGCATTTGATGAATCACATGAACCTGCTGCCCTTGGACTCACACGGGGTGGACTTTTCTCGAGTACGGATGTGGAGCCTCAACAATTGGTCCAAGTACTATCGCCAGACGTTGCTGTTTGGGGCTTTGCAGGATGCGCAGATCAACTCAGTGTTCAACAAGTACTGTGTAAATTTCCAAGGCCAGGTAAGTGTTCCTCATTTCTTCTGGACTCTTTATTAAACATTGTTTAATTGCTAGGTGGTAAGACAGAAGTGGAGAGCATTTGGTCAGCCCTGGGGATGGCTCACTCATCTCATTGGCTTCTGGCAGGTGGCCGTGAGGAACGTCCCAATGACAGGTTCCATCAGCCATGTCCTGGTACAGCTCCCACATGTCTTCCAGAGGATGGAAGCAGAAAACGTAGCTTCAGTGATTGATGCCAGGTAACCCAACCTTCCCCAGTCCCATCAGGTACCTGAAGTCAAGCAGAAAACCATTTGAGGTGTTCAGATAAATTTAGAGTTGGAATCCATAGTTGCTTTATTGATTATCGTTCACCAAATTAGGTGGAATAATTGAACCAATCATACCATTTGACGGAAGGGGTGATTTGGCCTATCTCTCGTAGCTAGTTGCGGTGGGCTTGGTACTGCCTGTCAGGACTCCTGACACTTTAAAATTGTGTTAAATTTTGTAATGCTGCAATGTGTCCTGTGCCAGCAACTATAAAGCATTGAATGGCTAAGCCTTTTTCTCTGATTATGAATATATTTCTCCCTTTCTCAGTTGCAGGCCCCCTGGTAATGGAATGGTTTTTAGGATATGATAAGTGTTCAATATTTGTTGGCTGACTAACTCATGTAATTATATCTTTCTAGAATGGTTTTCTGGGACATAATTTCATTAAGTTAATTTTTACAATGAATAATACAGTGGTGTCTGTTTTTTATATGGTTGTCAAGTTTTGTTCTTAGCTACTACTTTGAGTTGAGGTATATCTTATCTTCCTTTTTGGTCAAGTATAGAAGGAGAGATTGACTTTTTTAGGGTCATAAAGTTCATGGAAACACTATAAATGCAATTCTGCATTTCTGATGTTGCTATTTCCCTTTCTAAATCAGGTTTAACTTCTTTGTGAACAAGATTTTGCCTCAGTATCGTGATGCAGTCATGTCTCACACACTCATCTACGTCCCTTCCTACTTTGACTTTGTGCGTCTTCGAAACTACTTCAAGAAGGAAGACCTGAATTTCACCCATATCTGCGAGTACACTAAGAAGTCTGGTGTCTCCAGGGCCAGACAGTTCTTCCTTCAGGGAGACAAGCAGTTCCTGCTCCTCACAGAGCGCTTCCATTTCTACAAAAGGTAAAATAGCACCAGATGTAGACAAAAAGGCAGTGCAAGTCATGGCCTTCTTCTCAGCGCATAGTGGTGTTTCAGTTACCTGTTGTTGTTGTTTAGGAGTCTAGAAGTTTAAATTCTAGGTGCCAGCCAGGCACACACAACCCCCCATGACACACCGCACAGTCCACTTTACACACACACAGAGTCTGCTCTACACACACTCACATACACCAGCCAGCCAGCCACACACACTCCTACACCTTCAGTTTACTCCACACACTCACACACCCCACTCCACCCCCATCGCTATTTACAGCCTCTGAAATCCCACAGGAGGAGGCTCAGCTATCAGTCAGTTCTGACTTGACTGCACACAACACCACCGACACATATTTTGGTTGACATCGTTCAATCCATGACAGTGAACTAGAGGATTCTTTTGAAGTCCTCTAAGAAGCCTTGGAATCTGGAAACTGGTCAGATTCTTCTTGGCTGGTAGATTGGTTGGTTTCTTCCCACAAATGGGTATTGAGAAAGGATATAGAAGCAAAAGTGGGTTCAGATAGACTTGTGTTGATATCTGGGCCTATACTTTGGGGTGCTTCCTGTACCTGTGATTGCATATCAGATATTACAGACAGACATGGCTAACTTGAACATCTCTAGAGGGGTACAGCTTAATAGATGCTGACAAAAATATTGTGGGCTGTGTGGCACAGAAAGAGAGCTAGTGGGCACAGTATCCATAAAGTCTGAGGAAGTACACACACATTGATTTCTCTGTTTGTTTAGTTTCATTACATGTGAATTTGACAAAGTAAGCCTATGGGGTCTTTTCTAAAACTTTTTCTTCTTAGTTTGAGTTATATGTTAGTAATATCGAGCCCTCATACTGTTTGGGCTCATATGGCTCTTCGTAGCTCTGCATTGCAAGTAAATTTATCATCTTATAAATGCTGCTTTGCTGCCAAATGGAAAAACTTTGTTAAGCCCTTAACAACAGAGAAATGAGTGTTGCATTCTGTCACTTCTTTCTTCTCTGTTTCTCAGTAACTAATGTCCAGTGAATTTGCATTCGGACTTCACTGTTTTTATTAACTTTCAGTCATTTATATTAATAAGTGGAGGGACATTTCATCAGAGAATCTCTAAGTGATAAGCTAGAACCCCTCCCCCCCCTTTCAGGACATTTGAGATGTTGTACCTCAGCATTGCTTTCCCTTTAGTTTATGCTGAAACCAGAACAATGCTTTCAGACATGTCCTAACCAATGGGGAGGGCATGGTCGAGCTGGTGTGGCGTGACCTCTTGGGCATCTGCTGACTAGTGGATCCGTGAATGGAGAGTTGAGAATGGGCTACATTCCTGTTTCCCTGGGCTCCAGTTTTGGCTACCTAGACAAGGCTCTTTGGCCAAAGAATGTTAATGAAAGCCTTCTGGTTGGCACCATTATTTGCTTTGTTCTAATAACTTGTTGCTTTCATTCATTTGGAAAGTGGTATTTTGAGGGAGTTGCACTTACTAGATCTTAAAGAGCCCTTAGTATTTCTTGAAAACAAGCCTTTTAAGTAAAGTGGATGGGTTGGAAAACTTCCCAGTGTGATTGTCTATAGCAAGTGTGAATTAAGCTGGGCTAAGGACTACTTTCAAATATCTCAACAGCTTTTCAAGAAAAAGGCATGGCATCAAAAGAACCTTCTCTCTCAATATGCAGAACAGTCCTTTGTTTTATACTGTCCATTTAGTTTTACCAAGCTGATTTGTCTCCCAGTCACTATAAAGTCACATCTCAGCATGTGACTTTGACCAAGTTCATGGCTGTTTCCTGTGTTGAAGATGAATGAAAGTGGTGTACTTCAGAGTTCTGAAACCACTTGTTATCTTAAGGTTCCCAACTAGAGAATTTTTTACTTGAGAGATCACCAGAGTGATGATAGGTGTTTTGGTCTGCAGTGTCAGTATGATTGCATTTTTAATTTGACATTAGAGAACAAAAATACTCCACCTCTGGGATTGCCTTTTTTCCCCCAAAAAAAATTATTATTATTAATTTTAATGAAAATTTAGAGACTTTGGATTTCCATTCATTCATTGTTACACTTTTCTCCCTGCCCACCCCTCCCCCCAGTTCGCTTTTCTCTTTGAAAAGTAAAAGAAAAATTCTTTCATTGTTATACGGTCCCTCCCCCCAAGTCCATTCCGCTATGCAGCCTTTGTTCTGGACTCCTGTCATGACAATAATACCTAATCACATATCTCTTTTAAACAGTTCTCTCCCTCATCTGTTTCAATGCAATATACATTATTTATCCCATCTTTCTCAATCTCCCTCCCAACCCCGATGTCAGTCCCGTTTTACAACAGTGACACTATGCAGTATTTGTCCTTTTGTGCTGAGATAATTTCACTTAGCATAATGTCCTCCAGGGTCACCCATTTTGAATAATATTGCATGAGTTCTTGTTTTTCAATGCAGCATAATAATCTGTTGTGTGAATATAGCATAGCTTCTCTATCCATTTGTTTGTTGATGGGCACTTAGGTTGTTTCCAGCTCTTTGTTATTGTGAACAAAGCCACAATAAACATGGGTGTGCATATATCTGCTTGGGTGGCAGTTCTGGTTTCTTTGGGGTAAATTCCCAGCAGTGGAATTGCTGGGTCAAATGGTATATCTATTTGCAACTTTTTGAGAAAGCGCCATACAGCCTTCCACAGTGGTTGCACCATTTAACATTCCCACCAGCAGTGAATATGGGTCCCAATTTCTCCACAACCTCACCAGCATTTGTTGCTTGCTGTTCTGTTAGATTTTGCTATTCTTACCTGGGTGCGATGATATTTCATAGTTGTTTTGATTTGCATCTCTCTTAGAGCTAGGGATTTTGAACATTTCTTCATGTGTTTGTTTGCCATCTGAACGTCTTCTTTGGTGAAGTGTCTGTTCATATCCTGTGTCCATTTTTCAATTGGACTGTTTCTCTTATTGTGTTTGGGATTGCCTTTTATATTCTTTATGGTCATGGACAGCACTGTACAGATTAATTTGTGACCTGACTAGAATTTTGAATCTGCACATGTGTTTTTGTTGGGAGCAATGAAAACAGTGGAATCTTAATGTTTGATGAACATTTCTGGTGTTAGACTAAAAGTTGGCTTTTAAGCTATTAGTCTGGGCTCCAGCTGCCTTAACTACAGACACATGGGCTTGCAAATCAGCATCAGCTGTGAGGCTAAAATAAAGGAAGAATGCTTCTCACATTGAGCAGCAAGATGTGAGGTGAGCAGGGCTTTTGGCAGCGAGTTCCTGGTGGTGGAGAGCCTGGCATTGCTATGGACAAACAGTGGCAAAATGTGATCTTAGGCTTCTTGCATTTGTACTGGCTGCAATTGGATTTTGCTGTTCTTGCCGTTGATGATGGAAGGAAAAGTGGTTTGCTGAATTGAAACCAGAATCTGGACTGAGGAGTTGTGCCTTGGAACTCTTGGGCTAAAACCTGGACTTATTTTGGGTGATATTGTGATATTCTTTGGGTCTCCCACCCTCCAAATTTCTTCTCTAATAAACCCCATTGTTGGTACCATAACTGTGAGTCTGTGAGTCAGCGGCAAATAAAATGACCTCTTGCTGCTGGTGGGGCTATAGGCTCCTGATCTGCTTTCTGCTCTGGGGTAGTGAGGGGCTGTGCTATTTTCACTCCTTCTGTCCCCTTCAGGGAGACACACTCATGGACCTCTGCCATTTTGGCCCCTTTCCTCCTTTAGAGACAATATTTGATTGTGGTTTTTCTCTTGGAGATGTCTCACATCTTTTAGTGGCCCCCACAATTGCAAGTCAGAGACTCTTGATGGGAAATGGGGTTTTTTTTATATTGTAAAAATGTACGTATCCCCATATATTGTAATTCAAAGTTGTTCTGAGAGTACGTTTCAACTTTGTAGTTGTTAGGTGCTGTTGAGGTGGCTCTGAATTATAGCAACTCTGTATGTACAAGAAATTGAAACCCTGCCCAGGCCTGTGCCATCCTCACAACCTCACAATTTCGGAGCATCAGCTAATCATGCTTGAAATCACCACCCACAATCATGAAATTTCCTATCATCATAAACACTCACTAAACAAAAATTTCTCCTCTCTTCTTCCCTTCTACCCTTAGTAACCACCAATAAACCCCAGTACATTTGCTAGTTCTTGTCATTTCACGTAAGCAAGATCACATAATACTTGTCTTTTTGTGATTGACTTATTCCTTTGAATATAGTTCCCCCTCCCCCCCCCCTTTATGGCTGTGTAATAGTCCATTGTATGTATGTATATTGCTGCAATCCCTAAGCCATGCAGTTCAAATCTACTGGTTGCTCTCTGGGAGAAGGATAGGTAGGCTCCTCCCATGCGACTGACTGCCTTTGAAAACCCACTGAGCGTCAGCTGTGGGTCACTTCCAACACCACCACCACCACCATCACCACCACGACCACCTCCACAATTCATCCACAGACGTTTAGGTTGTGTCTATCTGTCTTAGTTATCTGATGCCATATATTTATTCTTTCCCAGTTGAGGAGACTACTATAAGTCCAACTTCAGGGTGTCAGAGCGTCATAGAAATGCCTATAATCTGTCACTTGTGGAATAAAGTCCTGTTGCTTTGAACTTCTGTAGGCCCAATCTTTCTGGGAATCTCCATGTGTTCTGGTCTTCCCAGTATCAAGAATTAAGGCCCCAAGGCCAAAAGTGATGCAGTTCACTCCTGGTAATTCTTTCTTGATAGTAGTAAGGTCCCCCTTCTCAGAGCTCATTCCTCTCCTTTTATCTCTGTTGTTGTTGTTCTTGTTCTTGTTAAGTGCCATTGAGTCGCAACTCATAGCGACCCTATGAATGAAAGTCCTCATCACTTGCGTGCGTGACTTTCATCCTTTCTCCAGGTTCATAAGGCTTCCGGAGGCAAACTATTACGGAAGTGGGTGCCACTCCTGCTTCCAAGCTTGTTTTAATCAGAGAGCTCCACCAAACACTGCCCA